TCACTATAAAATATCTCCAAAAGCCACCACAGGTGCTAGAATTAGAATGTATAAGACGGAGGCTTCGGTCCTTCATTTACATCCGATTCTGAGCTCTTGAAAGTAAAACAAGTGGAATCTTTCAAAATTGAATTAACAACGTTTTGAGAAAAGTCATTTATGTAGTTGGTATACTGGGAGATTGACAGGAAACGAAATTCCTGCTACAGTAACACCTGATGAAATAACACCCGATGACGTAAGACCTGATGACGTAACACATGGTGATGTAAGCCCTGATGACATAACACCTGATGGAATAACAACGGATGACGTAACACCTGCTACTGTACATGACGTAACATCTTATACCGTAAGATATAAAGTAACGTATATGTGACACCTGATGACATAACACATGATATTGTAACATATGTTGAAAAACTTGATGGCCTAACACATAAAAACGCAACAACTGGTAGTGTAACACCTAGTAATGTAACACATGATGGCGTAACACCTGATGAAGTAACACCTGGTGGCGTAACACCTGGTGGCGTAGCACCTGGTGGCGTAACACCTGATGAAAACACCCAATGAAGTTACACCTGATGACGTAACGCCCGATAACAACACCAGATGGACTAGGATCTAATGCCGTAACACCTGATGAAGTAACACTTGATGACGCAAGACCTGATGACGTAAGACCTCGTAATGTAAATCCTGATGACATATCACCTGATGGCATAACATCTGATGGAGTAACGCTTGATGACGTAACACATTCTAATTGTCGGACTTTGTCCATTTCTTAATATATGACGTCATTTGTTTAACGCCTGATACGACAGAGCAGTTATTAATGTAACGAGATTCATGGAATAACTTTATGACGTAAATTCACATTGCCTGACCGAACGCAACTGGTGGCATACGAGACGGTTATGGCACGTCAGCTGAATGAGGGTTCCGTATAGGATGCAGGTTCGAATGGTGGCGTCATCTACGAATATTTTCTGGTGGCGTAATTTCTCACATTCAGGTCACCTGTTATTTAATACTGTTTATTATAAACAGAAATTTACTTAAATTCTTGTATCTATAAAAAACAAACATAAAATGTTTTTGTAAATAAATTGTAAATAATATTTCTTAATATATATATATATATAAATTTATATGTATCCAATTAAATTTTATTACTTAACGTTCTTTTTATAGAGGACAAGCTATTTAAAATTAATGGCGTATAAATAAACTCAATATTCTCAACTTGGGTCCATTTCTTAATATATTTTGACGGGTCATTTGTTTTATGTTTGGCTTATACAGAATAAGGCAGTTATGAATGTACGAGAATGATGGAATAGTGAATTTTTTTTAGTGAGCTCAAATTTCATTTTGCATTATTATTTGACGATCCTTTGTATATTACAGAATAACATTTCATTCAAATATTTCACAATTCTGTTTTTCAGTTCTTTATTATATGTTTTGAAACCTGTCAATATAACTGTCTTTTCTATTAACATTTTCTCGGACGGACGCCATGGTCTTTGGAGGCTTGTTTAGAGAACAAATTAATGGCCTTTATAAACCTTCACGTGATTTGCAGTAAAATTTTGAATATGTAAGAATTAAAAACAGGTGGGCACGAATTTTAAAAATACCAAAGTGGGACCTGGCCCAAAATCGTTTGGGTACCACTTTGTCCATTTCTTTTAATATATATATTCTAAATATATATAAATTTACATGTATTCTTGTCGGTCTTGTCATGATGAGTCAGATTTGTGAAGCAGTGAATTCAAATATCTGCAACATAAAATGAAAATGGTAAACTAGACAGAGAAATCGAAACCCGATGTCAGAAAGCCAACGCATTCTTACCAACTTGGTCCTCTTCTAAAACATCCTAGCATTTCCACGGCATAGTGATATTTTGATGGGTCCATTTTCCTACCATGTGACAGACATTTGCCCCTAACTATACCAACAGAATAAGGTGGGTGGGAAATTCCTGAGGAAAGAGTTAACAACAAGTGAATTGTCTTTTTTTAATGAGGCATTTCATTTTCAATATTATTATTTGATGATTAAAACAGATTAAAGTATATTACGGAATAACATATCATTCAAATATTTTACATTTCTGTTTTTCAGTTCTTTATTAAAAGCAGACCAAACTATATATATATAGTGGCAGACTTTTATTAATTTTCTCTTCCGGACGCCATGGTCTTTGGACTGTGTCTTGTTTGACAGCAAATTAAAGAAAGACTAAAACTAACTTCCTTCAATATGATTTGCGTAAAATTTTTTGGGGGGTATGGAATATGAAAAAAACATTTTCCTTCAAAAATGTTTTTTGATGGTCGGCTCTAATTTTACAAATATCAAAGTGGGACCTGGCAGTAAAAGAAGTCTGTCTGAAAAGTAATGAACTCGGTTTGCCGTGTGAGCTTTTAACGAAACATTCTAAATAGTTTATCATCTAAAATGATATATTGAGGGTTCTTGTAATCTTGTCATTCTGCAATCATCGTTTTTTTTCATGCTGTGAGAATTGTGGCAAAGATCAAAATCTTAATGTTAAATTTTGAAAATGAAGGAGCTTTTTTCAGACGAATAGAAAGTCGAGATGGTAGGAAGTGAAGATTATGAGCAGGATAGATAACGATTGACCCTCTTCAAAACATCCTAAGATCATTTTCACGGAGCATCAACTCTGTAAGCTCATCAACAAAGTTTCCTATCTCTCTGATTGACAACTTCCTCCTTACATTTGAAATATGGATGGAATGACGATGATTTGTTTCCGTAGAAATAATGTCTTATTTCTACGAGGTCCAAGAAAGAACAAGATCGAGAATGTGCATTAAAAAAATATGAAGGATAAACAATACCAAGCATACAACACATCGAACGACAGAGGATCAAGCTTTTTGACAACTATTGCATTTTTTATCACATGCAACCAGTTGTGGCACGAACCATAAGCGTCCTGAACATCCGGCAGTTCTAGTCTGAAGATAATTGCAGACCAAGAAGATCTGCTGGAGCGACTCAGTGGCGACCCCCTCTCCCAAGATCCCATCATTAAGTGATATCCTCCCATAATAACATAATGGACCGCTGACATTCGACTGTATCTCCCTCAAGAGGAAGCTGACAGCACCAGTCGGAAAAGTCGGGCGAGCGGCTGACCGGCTCATCGCTTGAAATATGCTATTCAGTGCGGAGGAACCCGGGGCTACGCCGAAGGGCGGGGGTTTTTCGGGGGGGTAAACCGACTCTGAAAAAAATTTTCCTTCAAAAATGTTTTTTTTGATGAGCCCACTCTAATCCAACAAAATCTGATAAGCAGCGTAGTGGTGTACAAATACTGTTCAGCCTGAAGTCTGAAAAGAAGTCCGGAGTCTCGGTTTGAGCCGTGTCAGCTCTGAACGAAACAGGTCGCGTTTATAAACGGATTGTGTTAAACATTGTTCTAAAATGATATATTGTAGGGTATCCCTGTTTGTAATCTATCTGTTTCTTCAATCATCGAGTTCTTTTTTTTGGTTCTGCCTTTGGACTATCACCGTGGAAGATGTAAAAGCCCGTTTTGAAAGCCTGTTAAATCGGTTATGATGAAGGGCATTTCAGACGAATAGAAGGATGAAAGATGCATTAGGCTTGAGTTGGGGAAGAAAGAGAAACCATGAGGATGTTTAGAATTGAAATAAATTGATTGAACACCAGTCCCATTACTTCAGAGGGTTAAGATCCATAAATCCTATTCGGGGAAGCGTCCAAATAGTCTATAAATTTCGTACTCTACGTTTTGGAATCTCTCTGAAATTGCAATTCCTCCTTAAATTTGAGATATGTGGATGGAATGACGATGGAAAAAATTTGTTTCAAAGATGTTTTGAAATAATGTCTTATTTCTACAGTATACGAAGTCTGTCTGAAAAGTAACGGGGCCGGTTGTGCTGTGTGAGCTCTGGGCAAAAAAGGGATAAACAGGTTGTGTTATCACCCAAAATGATATCTTAGGGGTATACAACTGTAATCTTAGCTTTTTGCAACTATTGCATTTTTTTTCACATGCAAGAGTTGTGGCATGCAACCTACTCACAGCGTCCTGAACATCCGGCAGTTCCTAGTCGAGAAGATAATTGCCGTACTAGAACAATTTTCCTGTTTATCTGCTCTTGCTCCGTGCGACCCCCCGCCTCCCAAGATCAAAGGGATCATTAAGTGTCATGGGACCTTACCCATAATAACATAATGGACTATTCCATACGTAATAAATACTGCGCCTCAAGAGGAAGCAGAGAGTCCAGTCTGAAGTCGGGCGAGCGGCTGACCGGCTGATCGGTTGAACTCTCTGCCTTCGGGCGGGGAGGAACCCGAACGAGGCTACGCCGAAGGGCGGGGTCTTTTTCGGGGAGGTAAACCGACTCTGAACCCGTTTATAGAGGTTCGAAGGGTATATTTTTGGCCGAGCCCACGGGCTCGGAGATCCCACGTTAAAACGGCCTTGTGCCACATGATGCCCTCGTAGTGGTGTGACTAAATACTGTTCAGCCTGAAGTCTGGAGTGAAGTCCGTCAGGAGTCTGTCAGTTAGTCAGAGCGAGCGAGTCAGTCAGTCGACTCCGAAACAGTGTCGCGTTTAGACAATTACTACTAAACCTGATTGTTCGTACTAACACTTTCTACTTCTCTGTATATATCCCTGTTTGTAATATATCTGTGTTATTCCATATACGTGGTCGAGTTCTTCTTTATTGGTTCTGCCTTGGACTATCACCGTGGTACAAGAAATCGGACCATAACATTAAAGGAACCCGTTTTGAAAGCCTAGCTGCCATCAAGAGGGCCGTAACCACGGAGCTGAAGGGCATCTAAGTAGAATTCTTCCACTAGAAGGATGAAAGAGTGCATTAGGCTTGAGTTGGGGTTACTTTGAAAGAGAAACCATGTAGCTTGTTGTTTAGAATTGAAATAAATTGTTTGTAACACCAGTCCCATTACTTTTCAGACGGGCCTCGTACGTTTTTATGATACCATAAATCCTCTTTTCTAATCATTACATTCTAAATAGTTACTATAAATTTCGTACTTGTCGTTTTTGTCATGGTTTTCATGGTGAAATCTGCTATTCGATGCGTTAAATTTGAGATAGTGTGAAGGGTTATGTTGTTGAAGGAAAAAAAATATTTCCCTTCAAAGATGTTTTGGGGGGGCGGCTCTAATGCATCACAGCATCTGATAAGCAGCGAAATACAGTATACGAAGTCTGTCTGGAAAGTAACGTGACCGGGTGTTCTGCGTGAGGTCTGGGCGAAAGAGAGATAAGTGCATTGTGTTATCATCTAACACGATATCTTGGGAGTTTATAACAGTAATCTTAGCTTTTTGCAACCATTGCATTTTTTTTCACATGCAAGAGTTGTGGCATGCAACCTACTCACAGCGTCCTGAACATCCGGCAGTTCCTGGTCGAGAAGATAATTGCCGTACTAGAACAATCTTCCTGTTTATCTGCTCTTGCTCCGTGCGACCTTCTAAAAGATCAAGGGGATCATTAAGAGAACCCGTTTTGAAAGCCTGGAAATCATCAAGAGGGCCGTAACGACAGAACTGAAGGGCATCGAAATAGAATTCTTTCACCAGTGGTAAAGAAGAATAGAAGAGAATTACTTCTGTGTAATAGAAAACTTTAGAAATCATTTACAACAGTGTATAGTGATGGAGGCCCCCGTTTAGAGGATGTCATTTTTAAAACCAAATGAATAAAAACAGTAGTGTTTTATTTAACAACAGTGAAATAATTTTTTGAATAGCAATTACCTTAATCTTTTTGTCAACCTTTAAAGCATGGGAGGCATTTCTGCCACACCCTGTATATACAAGGTCAGTCTGAAAAGTAACAGGACTGGGTGTGCTGTGTGAGCTCCGGGCAAAGCAGAGATAAACGGATTGTATTATCATCTAACATGATATCTTTGGAGTATATATCAGTAATCTTAGATTTCTGCAACCATTGCATTTTTTTTTCACATGCTTCTAAGGCAGGACAGATCGTGGCTGCTTCACCATGACAATGCACCTGCTCATCATACTCTAATCATCCGACAGTTCATAGCCAAGAAAAACCTCTCCTCATCTGATCTTTCTCCGTATGACTTTTATCTTTTCCTGAAGCTCAAGGAGATCATCAAGGAGACCCGTTTTAAAGGCACGGAGGCCATCAAGAGGGCCGTAATGACGGAGCTAAGGGCCATATAAGTAGAATTCTTCCACCAATGGCAAAGAAGAACGGAAGAGTACATTAGACTCGAAATGCATTATTCTGTGTAATGGAAAACTTTAGAAATCATCTACAAAAGTGTATGGTGATAACGGAGAAAGTCGTTTAAATAGGCATCGAAATGAGAAGGGTTCAGACCGGGCCCTTGGTAAACAGAACCTGAAAGTAATTGCGAAAAGCCTCGCATATGACCGCATTTGTAATCACGGTCTGCTTCACCCGCAATGTGACGCACGCGATATGCCTATTGGAAGCACTTCTAACTTTCTCTGATCCAAGTTCGGCGACCAAATTCGTTGCTTCATAGGACGTTCTTTTTAACCTAGCCATAACGACAAGTTCTTGATCCTTCTTGAAAAGCAAGAAGGCCAGATTCGCCCGACCTAACGCTACTTTCACACCGTCACGGGATTTAATCGCCCAAACAACTTTTGCTTCACATGACATTTGTGCCGCTAACCTAATTAGATTGAGTCGGCGACTATAATCAGCAGCAAACAACCTAACATTAGATTTCAATAAATCCCACCACTTATTATTACTAAAGTCGCCGTCAATTCCCGCTGTAGCATTGGTCTTGGAATTCTTGGAAATAATGATGCCTTCAATTTCCAGTAGCCAACCATCCTAACCTTAGGCTTATCTAACTTTACCCAGGATCCCGTAAACTATAGAATGGAAAGTTGGACAACATAAGAGCTCTATATAGAATCGCTTAACGAGAACTCGGTTGATGTAGACCGAACACAACACCGAATCCGGGCCGCCACTATTAGTCAAACTCCACATTAACTCCTGAGGTGCTAATTACGATACTTTTCGATTTGATCGATCTTGTTGATAAAGTCTCGAAATGGCATAACATTCAGGTTGTTAGTACCCGTTCTGTCCCTTATACGAGCGATGTCGGGGTCAAAGACGGCATTCCTATAACCTTATCAAAACAATGTAAGATTTATTATGTTGTATGTGTTTATATACACAGAGGCGAGGATATCCCTGGTTTATCAAAGCTTCTAATTTTACTGAACGTTCATGAATATTCATCAGGTGGTTGAAAGTTTAGTCAAAGCATGTGGAAGGCACAAAGTGTTCTAATTTAAAGTCTGGTGAAAAGTAGAGTAAATAAAAAAAATTATTGAATTATATATATATATATATATATATATATATATATATATATATATATATATATGTATGTGTGTGTGTGTGTGTGTGTGTGTGTGTTTTCCCTTTACTGCCTCTCCTCTTCCCAGGACTGCAATATATTAGATAAAATTTTTGACAGTATAGGAATGGCACTCTTTCTTCCATCTGCGAAAATTTTTGTGGTTAGTGATTTTAATGCATATCACAAAGTGACTTAAGCATTATAATGTCACTGATTTTGCCGGTATTCAAATTAAATTTTCCGTTGCACAATCACTTACTCCAATTATGGATTCCCCTACTTGCTTCCCCTAATAAATCTGATCAGCATGCGTCCCTACTTGATTTGTTCCCTATCTACTCTCCTATCTCTTGTCGAGCTTCGCAATATTGTCCTCTTGGAACTCTGATCACACTGTAGTGTCTATTGTATATGATTCCAGTCATTTATTAGACAGCAATCTCCTATTCTCAAGACCTTCCATTACCAGAATGATGATTGGGATTCACTTCGTGACTTTCTTTGAGACGCCCTTTGGATTGATATTCTTAACCTTACTATTGAGAATTGGGCAAGTGAATTTTCTTCATGATTTAAAGCCGATCTCGATGCTTTAGTTCCTTCTTGGAAATACCAGGTGAAACCTCAATCTTCTCCATGGCTCACGCCGGTCTGTTCAGCCGCTATAGCCACAGGAATACATTATTTCGGCTATACTAGAGTGACAGTTCGCATCGCAACAGACGACTATTCGTTTTGAATTAATTCAGTCTTTCAAATCGCGAAATGAATGTTATCCTGAACAGCAACTCTTCTAGATCCTTCCGTACTAATGCAGTTGTCCTCCAGATCTCTATGTCTGATCAGAACGATAAGCTCATGGCAACTGATCTCAAAAACGACCTACAGTCTGTTGTTAACTGGGGCAAACAATGGCCTGTTAATTTTAACGCCTCCAAAACAAAACTGCTTCTATTGATCATCTGAGAGACCCCTTTCTTCCTTCCATCAGCATGGCAGATGCTAACATCTTGGAGAGTGACGCATTAAACCCTCTCGGGCTAACATTCTCGGCTGACCAGATGTGGAAAAACTATATTGGATTCATTGCTAGCTCTGCTGCTAAGAAAATTGGTTCTCTGTGTCGTGCTGAATAACTTTTCTTAAAACTACCTTACTATAAGTCTACCACTCGTTTATGCCTCGAATGTTGCTGCCACATATGGTCCGGTGCTCCTGCTATAAATTTAGAGACTAGCAGCATGGCCCGGCGTTGCCCGTGCTTGATTAAAAAATCGTACGACTCATACAGCAATCGCTATCACGACTTAAAATATTTTTTGCCCTTCCTTGCCTTTAAAGGAGTGCCCTTTGCTGTGCTGATGTTGCTACACGCCTTACTTCTTGCCTATCTCACACTGCGAATTTTTTCTAAGCTCTATACTAAACATAAAATCTGTTACGAAAAAGAACTAAACAAAATGAACACAAAACGATCAGCTTTAAAAAAAGGACTCGTAACTGGAAAACCGAATGAAAAAAGAATGTTAACAACAAATACTTTTTTCACACCCACCCCAGTTCTGCGGAATCAGAATCAACGTTGAGTTTAAGCAAGCGAATGAGCCAATTGGAGTAAAGTGCCATGCAGATTTAAATTTTTCTCACTTGTGACGAATGCAGCTATCGATTTTTTGCATGCTCGCATACTAGTTAACATTCGTGTCAGTCAGCTGTTGACTCTCACGCTGGTCAATAGAATCTTCCTGCCTATTCGTGGCAGCCAGCTATAGGCTCTCACTCTGGCAAACTACATGAAAAGTGCCGTAGAAGCATGAAAAAATCGATTATTTCCACTATCGATGGGAGTTGGGAAATGCAAAGTCGGTCTTGGCCTTTCCGCTAACTTGGACCATGTGCATGTAGATTTTGGAGCAAATCCGCCGAAAATTGCGGCTGTGCATTCGTTACACACACACACACACACACACACACACACACATCCTGCCTTTTATAGATAGAGATTCCTGATAAAATCCAAAGACAAATCAGCAATATTATTGGTCCTGACCTGGCATCTCGGATTCCTTGACTTTCCCATCGCCGTAAAGTTGCTTCCTGGTGCCTTTTCTATAAATACTTTCATGGTAAATGTCCAGACGAACTCTTTGGTAACTTTATGAATTTAGGCGCTGTATCAGGTTGGCAGCAAGGTCTGGTCAATTTACAATGGAAATGTCCAGATGTAATCGTAAGTTCTTTGCAATATAACAATTTATTTTCTCGCACATCTCCTTTATAGAAAGATTCTTCCGGTTTCTTGCGTCCCAATCAAGTTTGTTATTCAAAAATTTAAATCGTCTTCTGTCTTCATAATTCCTGTTCTTTTATTGTTTTCTCTATTTAATGTTTTCTTTTCCGTATATTCTTTCACACCCAGTACACCTCTTGCCGGTTGGTGACTTTATTGCCATACCTGAGGCGATTCCAATTCTATTCTATCTATCTATCTATCTATCTATCTATCTATCTATCTATCTATCTATCTATCTATCTCTGTCTTAAGATCTATCTATCTATCTATCTATCTATCTATCTATATATATATATATATATATATATATATATATATATATATATGTATATATGTGTGTGTGTGTGTGTGTGTGTGTGTCATTTGCAGACAGTAATGTTTCGCTGTATCACAGCTCCTCCGTGCAACTAGACATCCGAATACTTCAAGCCAGGATCGAAACCCGACCAATTTGGTGTCAGTGACAGTTTCTGCCGCTGAGTTATCATCATTCTAGCAGATTGTTTTTACAAATGTAAACAAACGCCAATCAGTCAGAGGGCTCCAATTCATTTTACTGAAGAGCTTTGCATTATTGAAGGTGGCTGTTATTTATAGACTCAGCTTATCTCTCAACAGTGCTCAAATGAAATATTTTTTAAAGAGCTTAATATATATATATATATATATATATATAATTCATCGACATTATTTACATTATTAGGACTATTGTCCTCATCTTTGTCGCCATATTTATCACAACGTTTCGACCGTTGTACGCTCCGGCCTTCTTCAAGTGGTTGTAATTTCGAACTGAACCCTTTATTTGAGGTACAAGCATAGAAATAAATACATTATGGGAACCAGTAATAAGGAGTCCCAGAGAAAAGCAATGATAACAACAAAAAGTTACAATATGTGCTCTGGTAAAAACATGCAATGATATCAGCAAAAATTGCAATAAAAAAAATAAAATGGTAAAAATGGTTGCTGAAGATATTAGGTTTATAATAACCCAGAAATTCATATCCAGATGCCCTCAAGGAAAACATGGCACAGTGGATAAAGGCGTTGGTTAGATACAGTGACAGGATCCAAAGAGTGTGAGTTCACTACCCGGTTAGGAGAACTTTCAGAGGGAAATTAGCAGGAGATAACTGATAACTGACATCGATCAAACATGGCACGTGGAACTAGAACAGTCTACCTCAGTGAGCGAAATAAAGGGTTCAGTTCGAAATTTTAACCACCTGAAGAAGGCTGGAGCATAGAACGGCCGAAACATTGTGATAAATATGGCGACAAATATGAGGACAATAGTCCGAATAATGTAAATAATGTACATAATACCTCATCTCAGTAATATAGACAGACTTTAATTCATCGAGTATGAAAGAAACCTCAACAGAATGACGTTTCGTCCTATATTTGGGACTCATCACCACTGACTGACAGTTTGGTTATCATGCAAACGTCATATCAACTATTCCACCGGGCCTCGGTGACGAAGAGGTAGCAAATCCGACTCAATATAGCGCCGCTCGCTCATATATTCCGTGGTGGAACTCAACTGAGATCTTCTCTAACCATAAGACTGTGCCCCCAGGAGCCACGACTATTATCACCAAGCCGCTCAGAATTGAGCATTAGAAGCCGGTTCAAGCAATGATATACAAATGATAGAAATTATTAGGAAGATTTGATAATTATAATTAAGTAATTCATCGAGTCTGAAAGAACTGGAGGCACAGTCCTATAGTGAGGTTTCGGTCAGCAGGAGAAAAATGCCTGCTTCTTAGTAGCGGTAAAAACTACAGGAGTGAATGACTATTTCTGAAGAAAGCGAACTGTATCTGTAGTTTTCATTTGTTATTTTTATCGTGAATTTTGGTCAGTCTTTGTGTTGGTCAAATCAAGTTGTTTTTAAGATAGATAATGGGAAATTCCTGACTTTAAGAATTTCCTCCTTGGTCATTTCGACAGTTTTATTGGTTGCTAGGAATGAATGTGTGTTAAGTGTATATTATCTTTTAGTTCTTTAGTAGTGTGTGTGATGTGTGTATGTATATATATTATAATGGGTGTATGTATAAATGTGAGACCTGAACACCTGTTTTTTGTATGGGTGAGAAATGTGGGTAGGATTTGATTGATGGGGGTTATATATTAATTCTATCTTTGTGGTTAAGCCCGTCCGGACGATGTGTTCTGAGGCGCAAAATCCACTTATCTTCACGTTCCTCTCGTAATTTTAAATTCTTTTCAATTAAAGTGAATTTTATATGGCTTTTAAAATCATGCTTTTCTAGGCGCAAATGTTGTTCTGCAAATAATAATCTTTTGTGGGGAGCCAACTTGAACCCGAATCCGATAATTATTAATTCCGTATTTAAAGGGCCATACAGATTTTCCACATATTGTTTCTGGCAGGAAAGAAAATTATGTTATCCATATTTTAAATCAATTAATTCATAATATTAATACTCTATAAATTTACATTGAGCACTGTTTTGCAAAAATAAAAATATCAATAAGATACCGGATTATATATCTTACTGTTCTTTCTTTTTATTTATATATACATATACATACATACACACACACAAACACACACACACACCCCACACACACACACACACACACACACACACACATATATATATATATATATATATATATATATATATATATATATATATGAAATCTAATAGTGTACTCTCCCGTCGGTTTCGACGTATGAGAATCTGACAACTTAACCAATTGCTTCAGTTATGAAATTTTGTCCGATATTCTTAAGTGGCATTTAAGACCCGTTAGTGTTTTACAAAGGAGGCCGCATATGGAGCAAGAATGAGGATTGTGGGATGAGATCACTGTTAGATTGGCTGACCTTTTAGATCATGCTCTCGCTTTTTGAAAAGGTTCAAACAAGCAGATTGAAAACTACTGGGTCCACTAAAACACGTTGATCTCCATTCTACCCACTCCAAGGTTAAGCGCTCGTGGGTGTTATGAGGTATATTGACAGCTGATAAGTTGCTCCTCAGTTTGACTTTGTATCTTAGCCATGGGCGTTCTACATTCTTGTAGCCGTGATCTAACTAGATGTACATTAGGATCTTGGGTATCCTGTCATCAGACATTCACAAACATGACCAGTCCATCGTAAATGGAACTAAAACAAACAACAAAATATTTGTTAAAATCGTACTCATTAAAAAGTGCTCATATTCAAGTAGGAATACCAATGGATGTATTTATTTTTATTTCTAAGTCTTTATTAAGTTCAAGAGATTTATCAACCATCTGGTCCTGATGAGCATTTTGAGGCAAAACCCTTGAGTCAGATAACCAGATAAGTCGCTTGAACTTTACTCAATTTATTGAACATTTACATATACATATATATGTTACGCACCGCTAAACATTCACTTACACACTTACTCATAATCACTGTTTCTTACATAAGTACACACACACACAGTCACACACACACACACACACACACATATATATATATATATATATATATAATTTCGCAAATGTTTACAACACTTTACAAAAAATGTGTTTGAGGTATTTCTAATACAGTTACATTAGTTAAACTTTTACTGCTTGTAGAACATATATTTAGGTATTCAGATTTCAAAAAATTCCAAAAAGTATCCCACGAAGAAAAACCGATATTTAGTAACTCAAAAGTTTACAAAATGTGTTTTTATTTACAACAGCTTTATTTATTTATTTATTTATTTTTTAAAAGTGTTCAAATTTTACTAGAATTTATAAAATTAGGAATGGGTTGTTTTTTAGAACGTTCCAGATTAATTTAATGATTACTTTTAGGAATGATTAAAAGTATTTCGTCATTCTTTTTCTGTTAACCGTCCTTTAAACATTAACAAAATGGGGAAAAACAAAATAATTGATCAAGACCTCCGTAAATGTATTGTTGACCTTCATAAAAATGGACTTGGTTATAGGAAGATATCTAGTCATTTAAATGTGCCAGTGAGATCAGTTGGTATGATAGTTCATCACTAGAAGGCGTGTCATTCCATTCATCCCCCAAAAATGCTCTGGTCATCCTAGAAAGGTAACGGAATGTACAGCAAGATCATTGGTGAGAAAAGTTGACAACAAACCCCGAGTTACGCTTAAAGAGCTTTAGGGAGGACTAGAAGTAAGTGGAGTAAAAGTGGGTACAGATACAATTAGTCATTGACTTCACTGATATGACATCTTTTTGAGGAAAAAACACTTCTTAAGTGAAAACATGTTCTTGCTAGACTGGATTTTGCAAACAAGCATTGTATCAAACCTGCAGTATTTTGGGAAAATGTACTTTGGTCAAATGAAACGAAAATTGACCTTTTTCGCAGAAATGCTGTGGCAAAGGTCTGGAGAAAGAAGGGTACTGAATATTCACTGAAGAATACTATTCCAACAGTAAAATTTGGAGGCAGTTCAATCATAATCTGGGGTTGCTTTAATGCCCAAGGTGTAGGGAACATTGAAATAATAGAAGGGAGGATGAATGGAACATATTATAGGGATATTTTGGAGAGAAATTTACGTCAGATTGCACATTCGCTGGGTTTGAAACCAGGTTAGGTCTTTCAACAAGACAACGATCCTAAACATACTGCAAAGCTTACAAAATCATGGTTAAGTTCAAATAGATGTTCTAAAATGGCCAAATCCGATTGAAAATTTATGAAGAGAGCTGAACTGAGAATTCAAAGAAGGAACCCGCAAACCCTGCATGAAGTAAAAGAATTTTGTCATGAAGAATGGAAAAATATTTGCCAAGAAACATGCAAGAATTTCGTAGGGGACTAAAATGCCTACATGCTGTAATTAGCAATAACGCTTACGCTACGAAATATTAATCGATGATTTAATAAATGTATCGTAAAGTTTTGCGTTATTAAATATTGGTTTTTCTTCGTGGGACTTTTATTGATTAATTTTTAAAATATGATTCTTTGACTAAAGGCTTTAACATATGTATTATTAGCAGTAAATGTTTCATTAATTTGTGGTAGAAATACACAAAGAAACAGTTTTCCTAATGTTTTGTAAACTTTTGCCTGGCACTGTATAGAAAGAGATTGAGAGGGCGAGAGAGAGAAGGAGAGAGAGAGAGAAGGAGAGAGAGAGAAGGAAGGAGGGAGGGAGGGCAATTGTTTGCCCAGGAAATATCTAATTTCAAACATGCAACGAAGATTGTGAAGGAGCTTGCTTGAGATGCCAAGGCAATGATCTTTGA